TTAACCAGTGCTCGGCTGGGCACTGATAGAAGTCAAAAGACTGGTCTAACTACTGATGAGAAAAGGTATTTAGCAGTTTATATTTACTAAAATTAAATACATTTCCATGTTCTGTGTACTGTGGGAGACCAGATAGTGAATGCAGGGTCCTGGATTTAGTAACACTTTAATGGATTTTAATGCACAAAAACACAATGTAATACCTATTTGTTTGGTAGAATATAAAATCCAATGTTACACCAGGTAAATAGATACCAACCATGTCATGCTTTAAAATTGCGTCCGCCCGTGGAACAGCGCCCAATTACAGTACCTGAAAATCGCTATAGGCAATTGTTTAACGTCCTCAATACAGGGCACTTTTACCCCCTTCCTCTGCAGACCAGCTTTCAGCGCTCTCACACTTTTTGATAGATAATTACTCATACAACACTGTACCCAAATTCATTTTTTGTCCTTTTATTTTTAACATACAAATAGAACTTTCTTTTGGTGGTATTTAATTAGCACTGAGTTTTTGTTTGTTTTTGCACTATAAATTAAAGACTGAAAAGTTTGAAAAAAACACATTTTTGTTCGTTTCTGTTATAAGTGTTTTTTTTTTTTTTTTTTTTTTTAACCTGTAATTTTTTTTCCCACAATTCCTTGGAAAATGAAGAAAGTAAATATTTTTTTTTTGTCCATTTATAAGATATTTCTAACACAGCATGTACATACCAAAAATTACACCCCAAAATACATTCTGCTCCTATCTTCTGGGAGTGCTGCGCTGCTTTCACTCGCCACTGCGCTACTGGTGGATGCCTGCCCCTCCTCCGATCTCCTGAACCTCTGCTGACCCACTGCTTTCAACTGGCTCCTACTCAGAATCTAAGTTTGACAGAGAGCGTTCCCCGCTACTCTCATCCATCATACTCCGTATCTGGAAAGCCTCCTCGCTGGTGTATAATTTTTACACATGTTTATGCGGCACTGCTTATATTGCTTTTGATGTTCACTGGTACAGTTGTGGATTTGAGACTAGTACTCTGTGACAGATATTGATCACTGCTACAGGTGTGGATTTTACTCTGGTACACTGTGACAGATGTTATTCACTGGTACTAATGTGGATTTTACACTACTACTGTGTGATAGATATTGAGCACTGGTAAACTGTCAGATGTGGATTTGACACTGGTAGGCCGTGACAGATGTGGATCACTGATACAGAAGTGGATGACCACTGGTTCACTGTGACAAATGTGGATCACTGGTATAGATGTAAATTTTACACTGGTGCACCGCGACAGATGTAGATCACTGGTACAGATATGGAATTTACGCTGATATGCAGTGACAGATGTGGATCTCTGGTACAGATATGGAGTTTACGGTGGTGCGCCATGACAGATCTGGATAACCACTGGTACGCCGTGACATATGTGGATAACCACTGATACTCCTTGACAGATGTCAACCATTGGTACAGATGTGAATTTTACACAGGTACACCATGACAGATGTGGATCACTGGTGCATTGACAGTTGTGTGGGGTACACTATGGGGGTGTGTGTGTGTGTGTGTGTGTGTGTGTGTGTGTCAGTGACTCAGTTTTACACAGATCAGCTCTGCTTCTCCTCACTAGCGGGCTCTGTGTGAGGAGAGGCAGAGCCAATCAACAGACTGGTGGCTTTGCTGACATCACATGTTGGCTGTCATTGGACACCACCATCATGTGATCAGAAGGGCCAATCTAAGGGCCCTTCTGCCAACCGGCATTGCACTGTGTCCAGGGGACAGAGGCAGACCGAGAGCACAGCTGCGCGGCCACATTCTGAGGGACATTCAGGAACGTTTCACTCAGAGGCTGTTTATTTGCAGTGGGAAGAAATTAAAAGCTTTCACAAGTTACCAGTTTAGAGTTAAACAGGTCTGTCACTAAAATTATTCCTCTCGCTCTGTCGTTCGCAGCATGTGCGGTGCAATCGCAGTTTACATATGCGTGCGGGACCTACATGTGCATTTGCATGGAGGAACGGGGGCGATTTTTTTTTTTTTTTTTTTTTTTTTTTTTTTTTTTATATTATTTTTATATTTATTTAAAAACATTTTTTATACTGTAACATTAACTTTTTTTTTTTTTCATCAACTTCATTGCTATTATATGGGATAAACAACATCCCTTGTAATAGCATGGGCCGTGACAGGTCCTCCTTTATGGAGAGATTTGGGGTCTATTGCATCCGATCATACACAGATTGGTTTGGTCAGCTGCTTCTCTAACCAGTAACGGCCGGTAAACAAAGTACCAAAACAGGAAGTGATGAAATCCTTGTCGATTCCTGTTTCTGGCATTACACAGTGGGAGGAACGACATCCATTCCACTCCCTGTGTGCTTAGAGCTGGATGCTGACAGTCGCATACTTGCCAGGCTCTCCTATAGCGTGGAGCAAGCCCTGTAAAGGCGGTGTCGAGAGGGGGGTGGGAGCTCCTTTCGCCACCTGCAAAAGCAATCCAGCAACATGTTAGCTGCTTGGATTACTTTTACTTTATGCAGAATCGCTGGCCCAACAAAATGATGCCTTGATCATTGCTACGGCAATGACTGAGATATCACCCTTCCTGTGCGAGGACATTTTAAACATACTGGAGGAGTGGTTAAACGCAGCCAAACGTTTAATCTCCAGATATGGAAGCAGGTACAAGTACCCACCCGCGAGGTGTGACTCAAGAAGGTAAATGAGATCATGGAGGCAGAGAACTGGATAGCGACTTGCAGGAGTAAACGCACACACTTCCGTACTACTTGGGAAGCACCAAGTAGATAGATACCAAACATGTCATGTGTTTAAAATTGCCATCCGCCTGTGGAACAGCGCCAAATTATGGTAAACACCTAGCACCCAATGAGCTTGGCTTACCTATCTACTGTAATCTTGGCTCATAAGAAGCAGGCTACCTCTTTGATAGGTCTAGGCCAGCCGTATAAAATAAGCTCTTGTCTACCTTTCGTTGTTCATGACATATTGGATCCTTTATGCAGGGCTTAAAATTTCAAGTCCTGAGCTACTAGCAAGGCCTTAGAGTTACTCGCCACCAACAAACACAAACCGAGACACCTGTACACACACACACAGACATGTACATACACACACGTACAGAGACACATGTACACACACACAGGCACGTACAGACACGCATACACACAGATACATGTACATACACAGAAATACACTTCTTCCCCCCCCCTCTCTCTCCTTCTCTCTCCCCCCCCCTCTCTCCTCTCTCTCTCTCTCTCTCCTCCTTCCTCTCTCCTCTCCCCCCCCCCCCCTCTCTCTCTCCTCTCTCTCTCTCTCTCTCTCTTCTCCTTCCCCCCACTCTCTCTCTCTTCCCCCCCTCTCTCCTCCCCCCTCTCTCTCTCTCCTCCTTCTCTCTCTCTCCTTTCCCCCCCTCTCTCTCTCCTTCCCCCCTCTCTCTCCTCCCCCCCTCTCTCTCCTTCCCCCCCTCTCTCTCCTCCCCCCCCCCCTCTCTCTCTCTCTCCTCCCCCCCCTCTCTCCTCCTTCCCCCCCGCTCTCTCTCCCCCCCCTCTCTATCTCTCTCTCCCCCCCCTCTCTCTCTCTCTCTCTCTCTCTCTCTCCTCCCCTCTCTTCCCTCCCCCCCTCTCCCTTTCTCTCTCCCTTTTCTCTCTCCCTCTCCTCCCTCCCTCCCCCCCCTCTCCCTCTCCCCTCCCTCTCCCCCCCTCCCCCCTCTCCTCTCCCCCTCCCTCACCCTCTCCTCTCCTCCCTCTCCTCTCCCCTCCCCCCTCTCCTCTCCCCTCTCCCTCTCCTCTCCCCCCTCTCCCCCCTCTCTCTCCCTATTCTCTTCTCTCTCTCTTCCCCATGCCCCCCTCTCCCTCCCTCCCTCTCTCTCTCATTCTCTCTCTCCTATTCTCTTCTCTCTCTCTCTCTCTCCCCCCCCCTCTCTCTCTCCCTCTCTCTCTCATCGTATGGGGCTGCACACAAGCACCTTCTCCAAGGGCTGCTGATCTCCGGGCAGCAGGAAGGGGGGGGGGGGGGGTTGCAGCCCCATACGATCCGTCAGTGTAGGGAGGGAGGCAGGGAGATCCCACAGAACACAACACGGCTCACCTGCTCCGGGCTTATTCCTCTCCGACATTTTTCTCCTCTCCCCTCTCCACGCTGTCCCCTGGTACTGGCTCGTCAGCTGCTGGAGGGAGAGATACAACAGCATCGCTCTGCCACTGCCCTCCCCTGCACCGATTTTCCTGCTGTCCGGGCCACTGCAAGGGTACCTGTGCGACCCCTCTGCTGGCGGCCCTGCATGGCTCTGTCCACTGCTGCCCAAAAGGTCCCTTCTTCTGGGGAGCGGTGCCTGGAGGTAGATACGCCCCTGCCCTGGGGGACACACTCACCCCCACCATAATTTCCACTCGCCATTGGCGAGCAGGCGAGTGGAAATTTCAAGCCATGCCTTATGAACAATTGCACTAATTTTGAAGGTTATCTATTTGTTTTTTCTTTTGTACAATCTAGTGGTGATCTGCATTGCCTATTTCACTTATTTATTGCACTGTGAATTCTCCACTACATACAGTCACCTCATGTATGTATGCAACTTACGTGTTTAAATAAAGATTATATTAAAGTGTAATAAGGTGGTGGGCAGGAAGCTGTCATTAAGTGGTGGTAGTGATATTGCCACTAAATGACTTTGGTTGCAGCAGCCAGAGGTTTTGGTGGGCTGGCAAACTGGCCAAATCTGACCACTTATTTTGTCCAGTCGGCAAACCTCAGACAGCTCTAGTTCGGGTCGAATATGTCATTGAACACGAAGCTCATTCCCATTTATGACCATGAGAGAGTATAGACATGAAATGATTTGGTAAGAAATTTAGTAAAAACACATTTTTAACAATCATGCTACCAATGTATGTTGAAATAACACATATAATGTATGTGCCATTCACAAGTCTGACAATTGTGTTTAAAAATTCCAATCTGTTCCATTCTTTTCCAGAATGCTCTCGATAAACGTGAGGAACTGACACCACTGGGATTTCACTTGGCACGGTTACCAGTTGAACCACACATTGGAAAGATGATTCTCTTTGGGGCATTGTTTGGATGTTTGGATCCTGTCTTAACAATTGCAGCAAGCCTCAGCTTTAAAGACCCATTTGTTATTCCATTGGTAAGTTGTTGAGATATATAGAAAAAATACATTCTGACATTAGTAAAGGTTGCCAGCTATTTTCATATGTTTTTATAGCTTTTATAATATAGCTTCTGATTTTTTTTTTTTTATTTTAAATATTTCATTAACAAGGGCATCCATTGGGAACTAGAAGGTATATTTCTGGAACTTTACACGGAAGGTTTGCATGCCAGGGGTGTCAAACTCCATTTCGTTGCAGGCTGCATCAGTATTATGATTACCCTCAAATTTGTATCTGTAAGACTAGCTGTGCAGAGCATCACAACCTCCCTTACATCAAATGTCAAGAGCCCCCCCACAATCAGAAGTCAAGAGTCTTCTACCCCCCCCCCTTACATCACAGTGTACTCCCCTTACCTTCTCCTGCTGCTGGGAAAAAAACTGGAGGCAGAAAGTGGAGGAGGACCAGAAGAAAGCCGGAGTCAGCTGTTGGAGTCTGCTGAATGCTGAGACAAGGGACGGCAGAAGCAAAGGGGTGCTGCGGCTGCACAGAGGCACAGGATCTCTAGAAGGAGCTCTGTCATTTTTGCTGCTGACTGCTTTTTCAATGCAGCTTCTTTTATATCACTACTAGAGCTTGTCTCTTTGATTTCTGGCATGGCTGACTTCAGTTTGGGCTTTGGTGTGCCACATCTGGACCCCTTTGGACTGGATGTTGCAAGGATAGCCTGCAACTGACCTTCTGGTAGCAGGTTCTGTATAGAACACTTTTCACTCTGTGGCCAACCTGTTACCAGAACAATTTCTATGTCCAGAGATGCAGACTTTGCCTCAATGTTGCTCTGTCATAAGATTCAGTCCATAATAGGTGGGCCCTCATTTTCTTCTATTAGTCAAACCCAAGTGTTAACTTGCCTTAGCGCCACGAGGTCTCAGCATGTCTGTGCAAAAGTGGGCTATCCTCACTCCATCAGTGTCCCACCTTAACACAGCACTCCCAGTCAGTAGAGGATGCACCCAAGTTTAAGGTCTCAACCGATGAGCGCTTGAAAGCCATTTCTAGAATGCTTGCTGGTGGGTTCTGCTGTTCACCCCATCTTGTCTGCGACTTTACTGTGTTAGACTGTGGCTGACTGGTTAAAATCCCTAAAAGAGATCTTATCGCTGCTGCATGTGGAGCAATAGGCCTTAAACATCTCTTCAAGTCTATTCCTGATGCCCCCCATCCCCCTTCATAGTGCAAATCTTCCTCCATCCTTGTTTGTCCCTTTAGTTTCCAGGAGTCATTGGACTCTTCACTTTTTTGCATGAGAGTCTTGGGCATGATGGCAGCCTTTTTAGAGGCTGTCCCATTTGCCCAGTTTCCTTCCAGACCCCTACAACGCAACATCTTGATGTCGGTTAAGTCAATCAGGTCCCTGGACAAACTAATTTTTTTTGGCAACAAATACCAGGATGTCCCTGACTTGGTGGCCGAGAAATTCAGCTCTAGAATCGGATCAAAAGTCTTTTTGTTCCTATATTTTGTATTTCATAGTTTTTATTTTATAAACCGTTTAAGACAGGAGCAACAAAACGTGCCCACGCAGTGGCTATCAATTGCACATAAATTACAAAAACATTAGGATAACACCGCCAGTAACTCAAACTAAAGGCAGCTATCCACTGCCACATCAAAAACAAACAGAAAAAGAAAGAGGAGTACAAAAGGAAAAAGATAAGACCAAGAGCAGGGGTCCGAGAGCACCAATACCGAGCAACATCACAACCCCAGACTAGCCGGGGGGGAGCGTGGGAAAGGCATATTGCAACCATGGCTCCCATATTTTCAAGAATCTCCATTTGGAGTCATTACAGATACTCGATATCTATTCATTGAGCATCATTGTGGTCATACGGTCCCAGACCCCCTGAAGAGGGACAAACTGGCTCTTCCAGGCCTGAGCAATTGTTCTAGTGGCTGACAAAAACAAATAGAAGGCCAACTTCTGCTAGTTAGCCAAGAGGCCAATGAAGCAAAGCATACCGAGCATCCCAGCGTATGGAGAGAAGGAACAAGGTGAAAAGGAGGCCAAACACACGAGACCAAAAATGAAACAGTCTTGGGCATGGCCACCAGATATGCAATACATCACCACGATGGCCACAACGCTGAAAGCATCGATCACTGCAGGCAGGGTTCGCCTGGGCCAAACGAGCCAGAACTCAATATCAACAAAATAATACCTTGTATGCCGCCTCCAGCGTGGTCGTATTAAATAAACATTTAGCTATTGCTACATTCCAATCCCCCTAGGCCCCTAGGTCGCACTGCCACTGAGCGAAATTTGAGAGAAGTATACGTCGAGCGTCTGTTCAAAGCTGCATAAAGAAGGGATATATAAGGCCTGAGGCGCCCGGGCGCTGTTGGCAAAGCAGTTCAAAGGCAGATTTCTGGTACGAGAAAGCGGAAGTGCCCCGCAGTGAGGTCAGCCAATTCCGCAATCGAAGGTAACGAAAAAATTCAGCCAGAGGGACATCTGTGACTCCCGAAGAGAATTCCAAGTGGGGAAGGACCCAGAAGTCAAAAAGTGTCGCACCTGCGAAAAAACCATTGGCTACCCACCAAGAAAATGCCCTTGGTTGATCTAAACCCGGTGGGAAGAGAGTGTTGTTAATAATTGGGAGCAAAGGTAGGAAAGGTGACATCAGGCCACTGGAGTAACGTTCCGAGTCCCACACTTGTAAGCCATGGAGCAAAATTGGACTCTGTTCCATAGGGCAGGGGGAAGCCATAGAAGCGTCGATGTTGCAATAGGGGCACAATTAGATAGTTCCAGCAGGACCCAGAGAGGAACATCTGAAGAAGTGTGCAACATAGACAGCGGGGCAATCTGGCTCTCGCCCGATAATACTTACTTAGGCACCTCAAGACCACCCTGGAGTCTATGAACAAAAAGCGTATTTCTGGAGACTTTGGAGCTGTTATCGGCCCAGATAAAATGCATAATCTTCACCTGAATCAACCAAAGGAAATGAGGAGGAATTCACACTGGGAGGGTGCGAAACTAGTATAACAATTTCGGCAAGATGGCTTTTTTCTCTGAATTAACTCGTCCAATCCAATTCGTGCGAAAATTGCCAAGGGTGCATAAGAGAGGACACAGAGCGATTATAATTTGCAGCAAACGAGCCATAGGTAGGGGTCAAGTGAACGCCTAGGTATTCAAGAGAAGAGGAAGCCCATTTGTAAGGGAAGTGGGACTGTAGGCGCAAAACCAAATCTGAGGCCAAAGTAATTTTGAGAGCGACAGTCTTATCCAAATTAAGAGACCCGAAATCAAGGAGAAGCGCACAAGAACTTGTTGCAAATTTGGAAGCATCGTCGGGATTAGTGAGAGTCAAGAGGGCATTGTCCACAAAAAGGTCAACTTGAACTCGAACAAGGGGGTGCCTGCAAGAGAGGTGCAAGGGCCACATGAAATATCCTGGAGGGCCGGATTTACGCGCCTGCGAGCCTTGTTTTTGACACCTGTGTGCTAGAGGGTCATCCAATCCAGATCATCAGACAATGCTTTAGAGGTGCTATACGTCAACTATGGGTTAGGGACCAGAATTCTTGCTCAGAAAGAGGTAGATGCATCCTGCTCTGGGCAGAATTTAATTTTCCAGCCTTGTCTGCTGTGTACGTTGCAGGCACGGACCATTGGCAGGCAGACTTCCTCAGCCATCAGTGTCTGGACCCAGGGGATTGGTCCTTACACCTAGAGGTGTTCTGGGATGTTCTGTAGCTCTAGGATGCCTGTAGTAGGCCTTCAGGTTCAACAGGAAATTGGAAAGGCTGCTTTCTGGGTATAGGCATCCTCTAGCAAAAGCTGTAGGTGTTCTTCTGACTCTGTGGGATCAGTACACATCTTTGCTTTTCCTGTCTTCCTCGTCTGCTTCACAGGATCGGGATTGGGGGCATTCTGGTGATCCTCATTTTTTCAATCTGGGCTAGGCAGATAATGTACACCAACCTGTTAAGACTGCTGGTGCATGTTCCGTGGGTTCTACCAGATTGTTCGGAAATTCTATGTCCAGGACTGATTTACTCTCCTGCTCCACTGGTGCTAACTTTAACAGTTGAAGCCCAGCTTCAGAGAGAGGCCTTTGAATCTGTGAATCCTTCAATGTTAAAAGCTCGGAAGTCTACTTGACGCAAGGTCCATCATTGAATGTAGACGGCGTGCTTCAACCTTGTGAAGGCATACTTCAAATTGTGTTTTTTGTGAATAAAAGCTCTTTTCTCCAGCTGCAGTCATTCACAACACAAGCCAACCGTTTACATTTTTATTCCAGTGAATAGCAGACTGCAGGTCCAGTGTAAACTGGAGGAGGGAGGAGGAGATGGTGCTGCACGGCAGAACAATGTTCTGTCTGACAGCTTAGAAGGAGAGGGTGGCATGGGCTATTTGTGCACTGTCTACCATGTCCCATCTTCTCCTGGGCTGTCATTCCAAGACCTGTCTACATTGCTCAGTGTTGTAGGATAGCTAGGCAAGCGGGGCTAGCAATCTGACAACACAGACACAGCACAAATTAAAATAAGGATAAGTGCTACGTGTACACGATACCCTGGGGGAATAACAAACTTTGTTTTGTTCAGGTGTTAATTTTTTAAGAACAAGTTGCTGAGGCATTTTCCCATCACATGACATTCTTCAGTCCCTGAGTTATGAGTACATACCAACATGCATCCCCAACCTCTATCATTGTGTCCTGTACAAAAATATGCACGTCTCCTACAAGCTGCTATAAAGTATATGTGAACCTTCACCTTGTAAAACAACTCATTCAGTTTAACATAGAAATGTTTACACAAATGTTTTGCCTTTCATATTAAAAAACAAAATAAAAATGACATTATAAATACTTTTTTTTTTTTTTTTAATAAATATAGTGATCACATACCCTCTGTTCTCAGCTGCATGAGAGCTGAGTGAGTGGAAACAGTAGTACACTGAACGTCCAAGTGAATAGCTGTGCTGGGGTAGGGGGAAAGTGTGTATGCATAAGTCTGATCATTGGAGGAGAGCAGGCTGAGTTCCCAGCACAGCTATAAAACTGACAATACTGTGCACTCATACCTAGTGTAGTCAGTTTTTAATAGGAAAGTAGTGACTGGCAGAAACACCAGGTGTTCCACACAAAGGAAGCAATACAAAGAGAACAGGATACTTTTTCATAGAAGTACATGGTACAACAGACACATATCAGGAATATGAAATGTTGGGTTAACATATTCTTTAATCTTATGGTTCCGACCAATTAAAAGCGCATATTGCACCTCTTAGATTATAAACTCCAAGGAGCAGGGCCCTCCTTTCCCTCTTGTATTGAACTGTATTGTTGCTGTATTGTCTCCCGTTATATTGTAAAGCGCTGATCAAACTGTTGGCGCTATATAAATCCTGTATAATAATAATATTTGTTAAGGTGATACAGCTGTCAGCAAAATTTTTATAGTTGACAAGCTTCCCATTGTGTACAGTATTGAGGTAGGAGCAGGTGGAAGGAACCACAATGTTAAGTGGCGAGGACAGGCATTCCACAATTCCCTATTTGTCCCACTTAAACACAGCAGAGTTCAGATGTGCCAGCCACCAGACTGGTACAGACTTTTATAGCAACAGTCTCTTTATTCATGCAATTATTAAACTTTTGGTATTTGGTAAAGCTGATCTGTACCCATCTGTATGTGGCTACTGTATCCCGAAGCCCCTGTGAGTTAGAACAATGCAACAACCTGTACATCTCATCTCTCATACACAATAACCATTACATTTAAAACATTTACAGCTTGGCATGAGCCCATTCTTCAACAGAAATTCAAGATAGTAAATGGATGACATTAAAAAAAAAAATGCTAATCCAGATGCATTATTTACCAATTTCTAGATTCAAGTTTTGCCAATTTTAGTTAGATTGCCAATTTCAGTTACAGTTCACCTTTTAGATGTCATCTGACCTTGCTGTCGGTATGTCTTTTTTTGGTCTCAATAAAATCTTTATGGTTTCTTTGAAGTTACTTCTTTATGGGTTAGAGCAGCCTCTCAGAGTTGTTGTTTCCTGAAGTGTTACTGCATGCTCTACCAGAGTAGTATTTCGTTCCCAAGTGACCATCATAGGACTTTAGATAAACTGAGTTCTGAGAGGTTATTTTCATTATATCTTTTTATCTTTCCTTTAAGGGCAAGGAAAAATTAGCAGATGCAAGAAGGAAGGAATTGTCCAAAAATACAAAGAGTGACCACTTGACTGTTTTGAATGCTATGTTGGTGAGCAGTGATGCACTTTTTTTTTTTTGCCTGGTAATGTTATATTTCTTAATTGCACAGTACAGTACAAAGGCTTCCATTAATCTTGACCATGGGTTATATGGTACCACCTTCAGGTAAGGAGACTTGCAAACTACGTTATTAGGACAGTCCCACTCCTAGCAATCCTCAGTTTGGTTTTTTTTTTTTTTGTTTTTTTTCATCATAGGTCTCATGTCTTGGAACTGTTGGCCTTTATTTTGTAAAGACCCTCTCTTGTTCATATGGACAAGGTGGTTTTGAGGTTTCAGGCCTTTCTTCCCATGATAGTTTCACTCTTCCATCTTAATGAGGACATTGTCCTGCCTTTTCTTTGGCCACTACATCTATCTGAAACTTTGATTTTCTTTCTGACATTAATGCAAGCTAGTTATTTTTCTCTATCGTTCATTGAAGGACACAGCTTAATTTTTCATAGATGGATTTGATGCTGCCACTTTCAGGGGCAGGATGCTAGTGCAACTTAAACGAACAGTACACCTAAGGGGATGTCCACTGGCAGTGGCCGAACCCCCCATCTTCCACCCAGGATTCAGTTTTTGCCTGGCGTCTTAGGAGTTAAGACGTGGAGCTTGTAGCTCCCTTATTTTAAGAATGTTTTTGACTTTTTTGTTTTTGTTTCCATCAACAAAGATTATTTTTCCTTCAGTCATCTGTGATGCTGGGCGACAGGCCACGTATCTTATATCATGGTAGTCTCCCCAGCATCACTTACAAGCATGTTCCTGCCCCAGCAATGGGGGCTCGGCTGCAATGACTTTGCTCTGCAGAGCTGAGGCTTTGTCCTCTTCGGCAGATGCATATGATGGTTGGCTCGGTTTCTTCCATCACGACTCCACATCATCTGATGACACCCAGATCGCATAGGATCAGAGGTATTTCATCCTCTGCATGGAGATTCCTGTATGGATAACTACAAGTCCCAGGTTGACCCTGCAGTACATGAGTATGTCTCCTGGGTAGGGTTAAAATGGCAGGGGTGTGGAAATAAAAAAAAAAAACTTGTCTAACGAACTAAATCGGAGTCCCAATCTATTTGTCCCTCATGACAATCTATTTTCTCCTGATAAATAAAAAAAAAAAAAAAATTTTCCCCAAAATTTAAAATATGAAGGGTTCATGTTTCGTATTAGGCAGAGGTGCTTGTAGGAATAACTGGGGCTTTTGAAAATGAAAAGGGGCATTATGGTGACTTTAAACTTTTAATCTTTTTTTAGTTTTTGCTGAAAATTTCCTAGAACCTTCAAACGTTTATATATATATTTTTTTAAACATCCCTTGTGACAGCAATAGGCAGTAACAGGTACTCCTTATGCAGAGATCTGGGGTCAGTAAGACCCCAGATCCTTCCTCTGCCCCTAAAAGCATTTGATCACACCAAAATCAGGTGGTCAAATGCTTTCCATTTTTAAAAATGGTGCTGAGGAAACCGGTGGTGATGTATGCTCATTGCTTCCTGTTTCCTATATCATAGCGGTGGACAGAATTTGGTTCTGAGCCAGCTGGTTGATTGTACAGTAGAGCCCACCAGGGCTTTTTTTTCCTCAGAGAATAGGTGCAGGAACTCAGCCACGCTTTCACCACACCACTACCTAATAGTGGGAGGGTCCTAATGGAGCATTGTTAAATAGCAGTAGTGCATACTGCACAGGGCAGAGTTCAGCAGTGCGCTGTGTACAAGGTGCAAGGTTCAGGAGTGCACGGCATACAGAGTGAAGAGTTCAGGAGAGTACTGTGTGCAGAATGCAGGGTTCAGGAGTGCGCTATGCAGAGTGCCCAGAGTTCAGGAGTGCAGGGCTCAGAAATGCATATCTCACAGGCCAGTTTGCAACCCCCCTTCTAGTACAGAGCCCTCCTCCCACCCCCAAATCCTCTGTCCCCACCTACAGAGTATGAGAGAGAGGGGCTGCTGCAGAAGAGCAGCTACAACAGTAGAAGTGCAATGTTAAGTGTGGAGAGGGGCATTAGTGCTAAGGGGTGATAGGGGATGTAATTGGTGCCAAGGTAATGAGGCATTGGTGCTAAATGGGGGGAGGGGGCAATGTGTTAATTTCTAATGCGGGAGAGAGGGGTGACTTTGAGGATTAGTGGAGGGAGAGGAGGAACATTGGGCATAAGTGGGGGAAGAAGGGGGGCATTAAGGGTAAGTGGGGGAAGAAGGGGAGGCATTGGGAATTAGTTGAGGGAGAGGAGGAACATTGGGGATTAATGGAGGAACATTGGGGATTAGTGGAGGGAGAGGAGGAACATTGGAGATTAGTGGAGGGAGAGGAGGAACATTGGAGATTAGTGGAGGGAGAGGAGGAACATTGGAGATTAGTGGAGGGAGAGGAGGAACATTGGAGATTAGTGGAGGGAGAGGAGGAACAGTGGAGATTAGTGGAGGGAGAGGAGGAACAGTGGAGATTAGTGGAGGGAGAGGAGGAACAGTGGAGATTAGTGGAGGGAGAGGAGGAACAGTGGGGATTAGTGGAGGGAGAGGAGGAACAGTGGGGATTAGTGGAGGGAGAGGAGGAACAGTGGGGATTAGTGGAGGGAGAGGAGGAACAGTGGGGATTAGTGGAGGGAGAGGAGGAACAGTGGGGATTAGTGGAGGGAGAGGAGGAACAGTGGGGATTAGTGGAGGGAGAGGAGGAACAGTGGGGATTAGTGGAGGGAGAGGAGGAACAGTGGGGATTAGTGGAGGGAGAGGAGGAACAGTGGGGATTAGTGGAGGGAGAGGAGGAACAGTGGGGATTAGTGGAGGGAGAGGAGGAACAGTGGGGATTAGTGGAGGGAGAGGAGGAACAGTGGGGATTAGTGGAGGGAGAGGAGGAACAGTGGGGATTAGTGGAGGGAGAGGAGGAACAGTGGGGATTAGTGGAGGGAGAGGAGGAACAGTGGGGATTAGTGGAGGGAGAGGAGGAACAGTGGGGATTAGTGGAGGGAGAGGAGGAACAGTGGGGATTAGTGGAGGGAGAGGAGGAACAGTGGGGATTAGTGGAGGGAGAGGAGGAACAGTGGAGATTAGTGGAGGGAAAGGAGGAACATTGGGGATAAGTGGAGGAAGGGGGGGGGGCATTAAGGGTAAGTGGGGGAAGAAGGGGAGGCATTGGGAATTAGTTGAGGGAGAGGAGGAGCATTGGTTATAAGTGGAGGGAGAGGGGGAACATTGGTTATAAGTGGAGGGAGAGGGGGAACATTGGTTATAAGTGGAGGGAGAGGAGGAACATTGGGGATAAGTGGAGGGAGAGGAGGAACATTGGGGACCCCACCCCCTCGGTCTCCGCCCGAATCACACACCTACTGAGCGACATATCAGACTGGATGTCGCTCCACTTCCTTAAACTGAACCTCTCCAAAACCGAGTTTCTTGTCTTCCCCCCAGCCCGGACACCACCCCCCATTGACTTCTCCGTCACATCCAACAACGCCCACCATCAAACCCGCCCCGCAGGCCAGAGTACTTGGTGTCATTCTGGACTCCAACCTATCCTTCCAGCCCCAAGTCCAATCTTTAACAAACTCGCGCAGACTCCACCTCTGCAACATCGCCAAAATCTGCACGTACCTAACCCCAGAAACCATAAACAGCTCATCCACTCCCTCATCATATCACGACTCGACTACTGCAACTCCCTCCTCAGTGGCCTGCCTCGCCGCTTGCTATCCCCGCTTCAGTCGATCCTGAATACGGCTGCCAGACTCATTCACCTTTCCAACCGCTCCATCTCCGCCACCCACCTCTGCCAATCCCTCCACTGGCTTCCGATTGCGCAACGGATCAAATTTAAAATCCTAACACTGAGCTATCCACCATACTGCCCCGTACTACATCACTGACCTAATATCCAAGTAGTACCCGCCCAGCACGCACACTCCGCTCCTCACAAGACCTCCTTCTCTCTAGTTCCCTGGTCTCCTCCTCCCATGCCTGCCTCCAGCCTCCTGCCTCCACCTGTCTGCCATCCACATTCCAGTCATTGAAAATTGTCAGGTGGATTTTCTCAGCTGTCCACAATGGTCTGTAGAGGAGTTTGCCCTTCACCCAGAGGTGTTCAAGGATCTCTGATGATGGTGGGGCACTCCGGATGTGGATCTTCTGGTGCACAGATTCTTTGTGAAGTTGGACAGGTATGTATCCAGGACCAGGGATCCACAAGTGTTTGTGGTAGGTGCTCTGGTGACATTGTGGGACCAGTTCTCCCTAATTTATGCCTTCCCACCATTACAGCTTCAACTTCGTAGTAGGATTCAAATAGAAGGAATTGCAGTGATTCTGATCACAGCGGCCTGGCCTGGAAGTACCCTGACACTGAACATGTCGGCGGCCTATTCTTGGGTTCTTCCAGATCCATTCCAGCCTTCTGTTGCAAGTCTTCCATCATTCTTTACAGTTACTGCCTTTAATGGAATTGCTGTTAAAGCCAGGTCTTGAGAGACATGGGAGTCTTCAATTCAGACATTACTATCCTGCTGAAGGCTTGTAAAAAAACTTCAATGAAGATATACCACACAACCTGGAAATCTTATTTTGCTTGGTGTGAAGCTAGGGGATTTCATCCTCGCAAGTATTTCATGGGTCGCATCCTGGCTTTTCACCAGTTTAGAATTGATCCCAGACTGGTCTTGAGTATGTTCAAGGGTCAGATTTCAGCCTTACCAGTATTTTCACGGACTAATTGCTTCAGATTCCTTGATGCGTGCCTTTGTACATGGTATCTCCGCGTACTGCATTGGACCTCAGCTTGGTCCTTTCTGTAGTGCAAATATCTCTGTTTGAACCTATCTGGGATATTCCTTTTCGTCCTTCTGACTCAGGTTTTCTTTCTGGTTGCCATAACTTCGGCTTTAAGAATTTTAGATTTAGCAGTTTTTTCCCTGAAGCAACTGTTCCTGCTCCACTGTAACATGGTAGTTTCTCCTTTCCATATCAGCTAGGACATTGTGTTACTATCTTTCTGTCCTAAACCACAGATGCCGGGGGACAAGAATCTTCACACTTTGGATCTGGTTCGTACTATCAGGTGCTACCTGACATAAACTGCAGTTCATCTCTTGGATTCCCACTTAGTGCTTCCCAAAGACCCAAGGTAGGGTCGCGCAGCTTCCAAATCTGCCATTTTTTGCTGGATTCCATCTGCATACTTCTCAGGCTTTTAGTCTTAAAAACAAAGTTCCACTGTTATTTGGTGTTGGCTCATTCTACCAAAATTGTGGGTGCTTTCTGAGCTATTGTACATCATTCTTTGTCGGCTTAAGTTTGTAAAGCTGCTACCTAGTCTTTGGTTCATACTTGTACGTAGTTTTAACAACTGTGTTTTGCAGGCTGAGGTTTTAACTTGTTCTGGTTTAGTTGTTTGGTGCCAGTTGGCTTGTTGCCCTCCCCTCAGTGCTTTGAGACATCCCTGTCATCATGAATACTAAGATGCTATGCGTCCTGTGATGCACAACAAAGAAAATAAGAATTTTGGTTTACCTGTAAAATCCTTTTCTAGGCATATTATCACAGGCCTCAGAAGTTGTATGACTGACAAGGAAGTCCTCCTATGTTCTTTTGAAATGTGCTGCTTAAAATCTCAATTGCAAGTAAACTGTCCAATTTTGTGTAGTGTGTGAGTTACAAATGTAAAGTGACACATGCAGATCACTTGCAAAGTGCACAGGTATTCCTTCATTAATTTTATCTTTAGGATTGGAGATCGTGCTGGACTGACTCAATCAGTCGTTGGTCAAAGGATAGGTGATAATGGGGATGGCTTGGAAGAATTCCCTTCAAACGATTTCAGACAACTTAAAAGAAGGTGGCGGTGAGCCCTTTTTTGAGGGCTTGGGCTGCTAACTCTGGTTACGGCCTTGTGGTTGTTTCCGCATGTACTTGTAAAGGTAGGTAGAAAGGAGCTTCCGACATCCATATACAGTTGTGTTCAAAATAATAGCAGTCAGACATCACTAACTTGATCAATCACTGTTTTTGGTAGAAATTATATTTCTACATGGCAAATAATTTACTAGCAGGTGTAGTAGAGTAATAGAAACCTAACAGACCCAACAGTCATGACATGCATGTTGCTGATTCTGTGTAATTGTATCACTAATTGAAAGGGGCATGTTTAAAATAATAGCAGTGTGGAGTTCTATTAGTGAGGTCATTCATTCTTTGAAAACCAGGTGGCAATTATTGCCCTTATTTAAGGAAGGAAGGCAGCAAATGTTGTACATGCTGGTTACAGTGCATTTCTCTCTGAAATTCTGAGGAAAATGGGTCGTTCAAGACATTGTTCAGAAGAACAGCGTACCTTGATTAAAACGTTGATTGGAGAGGGGAAAACATATAAAGAAGTGCAGAAAATGATAGGCTGCTCAGCTAAAATGATTGCAAATGCTTTAAAATGGCAACCAAAACCTGAAAGACGTGGAAGAAAGAGAAAAACTACCATTTGAATGGATAGAAGAATAGCCAAAATGGCAAGGACTCTGCCAACAATCAGCTCCAGGAAGATCAAAGAAGGTCTAAAGTTACCTGTGAGTACTGTTACAATTAGAAGACGCCTATGTGAAGCCAATCTATCTGCAAGAAGCCCCCGCAAAGTCCCACTGTTGAAAAAAAGACGTGCTGAAGAGCTTACAATTTGCCAAAGAGCACATTGACTGGCCTAAAGAGAAATGGCGCAACATTTTGTGGACTGATGAAAGTAAGATTGTTCTTTTTGGGTCTAGTGGCCAGAGACAGTTTGTCAGACGACCCCCAAACACTGAATTCAAGCCACAGTACACTGTGAAGACAGTGAAGCATGGTTGCGCAAGCATCATGATATGGGGATGTTTCTCATACTACGGTGTTGGGCCTATTTATCGCATACCAGGGATCATGGATCAGTTTGAATACATCAGAATACTTGAAGAGGTCATGCTGCCTTATGCTGAAGAGGAAATGCCCTTGAAATGGATGTTCCAACAAGACAACGACCCCAAACACACCAGTAAACGTGCAACATCTTGGTTCCAGACCAACAAGATTGACGTTATGGAGTGGCCAGCCTAATCCCCGGATCTTAATCCAATAGAAAACTTGTGGGGTGACATCAAAACTGCAGTTTCTGAGGCAAAACCAAGAAATAGAGAAGAACTGTGGAATGTAGTCCAATCATCCTGGGCTGGAATACCTGTTCACAGGTGCCAGAAGTTGGTTGACTCCATGCAACACAGATGTACAGCAGTTCTCAGAAACAGTGCTTATACAACTAAATATTAATTAAGTGATTCAAAGGAAAGCAAAATCTTCAAACATTTTTCAGTTTATATAGTGAATGTTTGAGTTTGTAAAGAAAAAAATACAAACACTGCTATTTTTTTGAACAGTCTAATATTCACTTTTCTTCAATTTTTTTTAGAGGAACAACACAAATTTGATATATTTTTCTTCATGTTTTGATTTGGAATAGAATGTGTTGTGTTCCCAATGCATTTGTGTGTATAAAAATAAAAGCTATTAGAAGGATTTTGAGCTTTATTCACTTTTTTCAACACACTGCTATTATTTTGAACAAATGTATATAGAAAAATGGGAATAAGTATAAATGGAAAAATGACAGTAACTGATACATTTTCAGCTGTCCTTTTACTACTTCTACATATTCATATTTTTCTATATTTGTTACACTCCTGCTACACTCGTTTGTCTAATAGCCCTGAGGAAGGGGGAGTCTTTATTCCCCTGAAATGCTTTGGATTGATTACTTGTTGCTACTCTCAATAATGGTTACTAACTCACCTAACTTGCATTCACTGGGTATCGGGCGCTCCTTTCTACCTACCTTCATAAATTTGATGTTTTGCTAAAACTAATTAAGATGATTAAATCCTATGAACACCCCTGTTCCAGTTGAAGTTAGATCCCTGTGAGTGTCTCCTTAACTTGCATTACAATAATGATACTACACAGGAAACCGGTGCAAAGAAGTGACCGTATAAAAAAAATACTAAACAAATGTGTATTCTGACCGTTTGTGTGTTTTGTTTTTTTTTTTCGTGTGATGATCCTTTATTATCCCATAGTGTTCTAAAATGAATGCAGCACCTTTTGTGTCATGATTTTATGTTCACATTATTGTTTGTTTATTTTTCTGTAATTAAATAATAATGTAGTATCGAGCATTCATTTTACAAAAATATAACATTTCTGCTTACCATCTTAGGGCTGGGAGGAATCAAAGCATTATGGCCCAAAAGCAGAGAGAGACTACTGCTGGGATAACTTCCTGTCTTCTAATACACTCAAGGTACTATCCTTTTTCTCTTTATGTGAAAACATTTTTTGTCAGTGATTCAAACGCACATATCAGTAGTACACCCCTACAAGGTAAAGCAATTTTTCCTTTTAGATGCTAAATAACATGAAAGGACAGTTTGCTGAACACCTGCTTGGCGCAGGCTTTGTCATCAGCAAGAATCCAAAGCATTCTAAAGCTAATATCAATTCAGGTGAGTGGCAATCTTAGATATTTGGTTTTCTGTACTTTTACTTTTTAATAGTGTTCAATAAGGTGTTCTGTTTTCTAGATAATGAAAAGCTCATCAAGGCAGTTATATCTGTGCTGGATTGTATCCAAAAGTGGCTAAGATTCGCCCCAACTTCAGTAAAAAGAGAAAAATGTAAGTGATAGAATATATCAGTGTTTGGCATTTTTAGAAAGACCAGTGAAAAGGTTCAAGACTTATTAACAGTAGGCCATGAAGAGATACTATCAGTTTGCTGTTGTAAGGACTGTGTTTTGTAGCTTGCTAGCCTCATCCCAGTTAAAATCGCCTTACCAACACTTCTTTGGCCATATAACTGTTGTGGTCCTAAAGGTTGACTACTAGACCCCAGCACTGTCACATATGGAGGTCACATGCTCCTCCATAAGAATGAGAGAGAAGCAACACTCGCATCAGGGTTTCAGTGATATCAAATCAAGAGTCTGCAGTGTCGGTGCTCAGGCTCCAAGTGTCGTCTTACAACAAATCAAAACGAATATAGCTATGATTAAGGCTACACGCCGAAACATGTATGCTGTTTTTACACGTTTGTTGCTCTGTAGCAAATAAAGACGTCCATGGATGCTTTGAGTTACTGGCTCCCTCTATTCGTTTTCTCATGCTCCTTCATACCTGTAAGCACTAGTGTTATGTAGGCTGGAGCAGCAAAGGAGCACTGGCATAAGGCGTATTTCTGATATGGGGGGCTGCTATTCACAAACACGATGTCACCTTGCACTGAATACTGAAGTGTTTTTTTAAGAACAGTGCTAATAGTGGTGTTGTGAGTAGTTTTTTTTAATATGCAGCATTGGCTTTTTAAATATAAAAATCCAACCAGACCAATATGGTTACATAGGTAACTCGTGTGGAAAAAAACATCAATCAGGTTCAACCTATTACAAACTTAGCAAGTTTGGTTCAGAGAAAAAAATTATGTAAAAAATATTGAGTAACAAATTAAAAATGTTTTCTATCATTGCTGCCATTACAAACTCTGGTAGTTTTGTTCCAGAAGGCAAGCAAAATTCAGCTGTGGCAAAATGTCTTTTCTGGGATAAAAAAATGCAATTTGGTGTTAGAAAAACATCTTGTTCATTTTAACCACCTCCCATCCGCTATATAGTAAAATGACGGGCGCAAGGTGGTTCTCTCGTTCTGGGAGGACGTCATATGACGTCCTGCCATTCTCACCGCGCATGCGCGGCTCAGGGAGCGTGCAGCGCGGCAATCGGCAGTGCGCTGTGTCCCTCGGACACAGCGGATCACCGATCCATGGAAAGAGCCGAAGATGTCGGCTCGGTCATGTGATTCAGCTGTGTCCAATCACAGCTGATCACATGTAAACAGGGTAATGCCGGTTATCGGCATTTCTCTCCACTCAAGCTGTCACGCTGACAGCTCGAGAGGAGAGCCGGTAATCAGCATTCCGTGGAGGGGACATGTACACTGATCATCAGAGCACTGATGATCAGTGTAGCCCCAGCAGTGCCACCTGTCAGTGTCCATCAGTGCCACATATCAGTGCCCATCTGAGCTGCCTTTCAGCCATCAGTGCCAGTCAGTGCCACCTATCAGTGCCCATCACTGCAGCCTCATTAGTGCACATCAGTGAAATTTTATAACAAAAACTAACAAAAACTAAAAAAACGTTTTTTTTTCAAAATTTTCAGTGGTTTTTGGTTTGTTTAAGAATAAAAAACCCAGAGGTGATTATATACCACCAAAATAAAGCTCTATCTGCAACAAAAAAAGACAACAATTTCATATGGGTACAGTGTTGCATGACCGCGCAATTGTCATTCAAAGTGCAACAGCGCTGGAAATTGGCCTCGGCAGGAAGATGGTATAAGTGCCCTGTAGGCTTGTGGTTAATCTGGTTAATGATTTTGCTATTGTTACCCTTGTTCCACAGGTTATCAATTCTTACCATAAAGAATCTCTCCCTCAATATTCCTCTGTGCTGATAACTGATGTCACCTAGTCCTCATTAAATATCTGCATGATGTTTGTCTTTGTTTATCGTACTTTACAGGCACAGCCTGTCAAACATGACAGATGGGATATATGTTGCACCCTCAGGTGATTGACACTGGCAAAGTCACTGCCTCATATAGCCCATCTCAATGCCCCAGGTCATTGCTGCAGAGGTGTCAGTTTTTCAGATCAGTGCCCCCTGGCTTTTTGCTATGGAGACTGTACCTGGACTCCACATGAAGTCAGGAGTGGGGCTGGCCTGTTATGTTGAGACTACTCTAAACCCGGTCTAAAAGGCGACACACCTGGGTACTTGGTACAGCTTGTGTCACTGCTGTGTGCTCTACAGGTCCCAAGGCTGAGGTCCACTTGTGGTGGAACTCAATTCTTGAGGATTTCCAGAGCAGGAGGATAGGCCTGACCAAAGTGGGTTAAGCCAGAGTGTTGTGATACAGTAGTGACTTGTACCTGGAATTGCGTCCAAGGTAGCGCAGTCACTGGTGTCGGATCATTAACATCAGCCAGAACAGCTGGGGAGGAATGTTTTCCAAGATTGACTGTGCGCCTAAGTATTTGTAGGCATGGAGCAGCAGGCCCTTTTAAAAAGGCTTTGCCTCACTCCTATGGTGAACCAGCTGGACTCCCCCATGCTTTGGTCACGCTGCATAAACACCATTTTAGAGGCTTGGGCGCATATGCAGTGACTATCTTGCTACTCCCGAATGATGCAGGTGCCATCTTAGTACTCCTGCCCCTTCTTGGCGTATATGGGGGTTTCATTTTGTCCTATACAGCGCAGGCATGGAGGTCATAGACTGCAGATGTGGGCACCATTCCCCCAAGGATGGCGGACAGACATTCGCAGAGAGGACACAAGGCAGATGACTCCAGATCAGGTCCCCTCTGCCCCTCAAGGCCATATAGAGCAGGAGCGGTTCAGTTCCACCTGAAATCACATTGTACCTTCAGGGGACAGGGCACTGTGCTAATCTCTTTCCTGCTAACCATGAGTGCCCCACAGGGGATTAAGCAACATGGATGACATCGAAAAGAGGTGAAGAACCGATTTGGCCGAGATAGTCACTCTCTACTGTCCCAGGCATTATGCTTTTTCATGCAGGGGGCCAGGCTTCTCGGATTTCTACCTCGATCAGACCATCTGGGCTCCTTCTGTCCTCAGAGGCAGAGTAGACTGAGCAAAGAAGAATTTTCCACCAATATAGTCTTTGGAAAAATGTCACCATTTCCTTTCTAAAGCCATAAGTCAAGGGATCACAGCCCCTCTGTGTCCTCTCTACCTTCTGAACCAGGGGTTTCTGACTGCTCAGATGTAGAGGAGGTTGATGTTACTAGGGGAAATCCTTCTGATTCAAATAATTCATATGTGAAAGAAGGCTTTTTTGCCACGGTGTAGCTAGAATGAAAATATATTTAATTCAGTGCTTATAGAGGAGGTGCGCAAATGTCAGGTTAGACTCTAAGGTGCCTGAGGACCCAAAAGTGCCAGTATAGGTTCTTTGATAATAGAAAAACAAGTATCCTAATGTGTTTCCTGTTCATGTGTTAGTCAGGGATGTTTTGTATGAAGATTGGATACATCCGGAAGAGTTTTATGCTCTTGGAGCAACCATACCCAATAGACGAGAAATTCTCAAAATAATTTTTTGCCCAAGGTAAATCCAGCTATCTCTTGCTTTGTTGCTTTGTCAAGATTCTCATATTTCCTAGCCTGGAACTCTAGTAGTACTAGATATAGCCCCTCTTTTCAACATCATTTCGACCAGTTTCTGGCAGCCTTAGTCTATTGTGTGGACAGAATGACAAATGCATTGTCAGCTATCTCATATTGTATTTCTGTCTGTATAGATGCAAAGAATTCTCTGTTGGCAATGTTGGTCCACTGAACAAACCTGTAAGAAAAGATTAGAAAGGATGCCATTTAAAGGCGATTGCCTCTATCGGGGATTCCTTGGATTCTTATAGCAAGAAGATAATAGTTGGGAAAAATACTCCTATTTTTTTTGCCCAGAGAGACAACAGTGAGGGTCTCTACCGGTGAGCCGGACCCTGTAGCGCAGTATAAATCATCCTTTTGTTACCCCCAGGAATCTGCATCCATGGCTAAACCTGGTTTCGACACAAGTCATGGTCTTCCAAATTCACCAAACCCGGTCTCAAGTCCTCTTAACAACAAAGGGGCATTCCCACATTTTTTTTGCAGGGGGGAGGGGTTTACTTGCCATTGCACACATTTGTTGCAAGAAGATAAGATCTCTGACTTCTGGGTCCTCTGATTACAAACTGGAATCTGAGTCATCCGTCACCCTGTTTTTGGCCATCAAATGTGCTTTCATCTCCACAGCACAGAGCAGTTTTGCTAAATGCTGTATCCCAACTTCAGGCTTATGGAGCTGTAATACAGGTCCCTGAGGAAGTGAGGTTTTGAGGGTTCTACTTGAACTTGTTTATTGTACCCAAACCAAACAGGAAGGTCTGACTTTTTATGGACCTCAAATCATTAAACCAGCCTCAACATTTTTATCCCTATGAAATCTCGAGGGAACCCTTGATAAAAGAAGTTCATTGGGGGTCAGTGGAGGCAAGCACTGTCAAACAGGAGGTAAATCATCCATAGCAACATCTGGAGGAAGCCTGGTTGGGAATGATTGTGATATGACTTTTTCTGAAAGTCATGAAGTTTCAGATGGAATCGGTGCGATCAGTGATAGTGGCCCTTTGACAAAGGGAAGTATTGGCAATGATTGATATCAGGAATGCATTTGACAGTCTGGATCCCATACTGTATGATAAAGAAAAATAGACTTTTTTACATACGTGTAACAAATCCTTTTCTGGAGTATAGTACAGGACACAAGACCCACCCCTCTGTGTATTTTGGTTCTTCATTGCATGTTACAAAATGGAGAATCACATGGTGAGAGAGGTTATATGAGGGAGTGTTAAAGCTTTGAGTGGAGGTTTTGTCAGTGTCCAATCACCTTGAGGTGCAGCATATAATCCATCTGTTATGATTGACAGCATGTGTTCTGTACTGTACGACCAAAAAAGAGGATTCTACAGGTATGTGAAAAAATTTCATTTTTTTCTCTCCATATTGTAACTCGTATCCTCCTGAAAATTAGAGTTGTGATATCAAGATCATTTGGTTTCTATTATAAACCAAAATTGTGGTTGTGTGACTAAAGGCAAATTAGGTAGAAACTTCTCTAGGAATATGGACAGGTGGGAATCTCCAGTATGCAAAGCACAGTGTAATATATTATTGCTATATAAATGTAAACACTTGGAAAACAGAGAATCTATATCTGATTGGCAAACGCTCCTATGATCACCATGTGTGTGTGGTGACTGAACATTTTCTATTGTCCACGGACATTTTCAGATCAAGCTGAATCTTATTCTGGTTATAAACACATGGGTCTGTTTGTTAAAAAAAAAAAAAAAAAAATGTTGCTTGAATGTCAAGTATTGATTCAGGCTGCACAAATGTATTTTCTCTTATACTATGTCTTCCTGTGATTGTCTGAAATACCTTAATCAGGATATATACTGCATTTTGGACACTAGATGGAGCAGTAAGTGATATATAATCTGTTATTAATATACAGGATTTATATAGCACTTTATGAACATTATTTCTGTAAAATAATTGCATGTTGCCAAAGCTGATTATACCAGATAGGCAATTTGATCAATTGTTTTTTTTTTTTTCTTGCAGAAAATGCAGTAAAATTTGACCACATCTGCCTTTTTGGTTTATTGTATTGAACAATCCTTTTGAGAAACAGATGGTTTTGTAAGATCAGATCTGACAGACTGATCTTTTTTTAACGTAGGAACATCATAATTGTTTACACAAGTGTTCGTTTTTTCATGGACATAAAGCACTGTGCTTGAGAGCTTATTTCAAAGATATGAGACATAATAAACATAGCAACTTATAAGACATCAAGTGCATAATTTAAAAGAAAAAAACGTATTATTGAAATTGTTTATTTTGTAACATGGTTAAACCGCTTACCCGCCGCCGTATCGCAGATATACTGCTACACAGTGGCACGGGTGTTCAAAATCACGTATATATATCACGTGATTTTGCATTTCTGGGTAGTGGCACATGCCCAACCCGCGCTGCTGTTCACAGCCGCAGATGGCAATCACGAGGAGGAAGACTGTTTTGTTCTCCTCCCTGTCAGCTCAGACACACTGATCGGGATGACTGTGCACAGCACAGCTATCCCGATCAGTGTGCTTACAGTGAAGCACCCCCCCCCCCCCCCCCCCCCCCCCCCCCCCCCCCCCCCCCCCCCCCCCCCCCCCCCCCCCCCCCCCCCCCCCCCTAGTAAAACACTCCCTACACACAGTTAACCCTTTATTGCCTCACACATTAACCCCTTCCTGCTCAGTGTTATTAGTACAGTGCCAGTGCTGTTTTTTTTAGCACTGATCACTGTATTGGTGTCACTGGGGATGTCAGGGACACCAAGTTAGTCCCCAAGTCCCCCCCCCCCCCCCCCCGTCAGCCCGCCGCAGTCCTGCTAAAAGTCGCTGATCGTCGCCATTACTAGTAGGGAAAAAAAAAATCCCAGTATCTTTGCTGCCATTTGTAAATGCTGTAACTTTCACGTAAACCAATTAATTTACACGTATTGGGATTTTTTTTTTTTAGGAAAGAGATGTAGCAGAATACATTTTGGCCTGACTTTATGGTGAAATTTGTTTTTTTTTTTAATTTTTGTACTGGACATGTTTAATAGCAAATAGTTCAACATAATGTTTTTTTTCTCAAAATTGTCAGTCTTTTTTTGCTTATAGCGCAAAAAATAAAAAACGCACAGAGAATCAAATACCACCGAAAGAAAGCTCAATTCATAGAAAAAAAAAGGCGTAAATTTTATCTGGATGAAGTGTTGTATGACCACGCAATTGTCAGTTAAAGTAACGCAGTGCCGTAACGCAAAAAATGGCCTGGTCAGGAAGGGGGGTAAATCCTCTGGAGGGCAAGTGGTTAATAGGTTAAAACCATCAAAAATGTAATTGTAATTCCCAGTTTTTGAAACTGGGTTTTTCCAGCCTTTGTAGTTTGCAATGAATTTTATTCATACATCTAAAAAAAAATGCATTTCTTTACACATTTACAATTACAGGAATGGTTTAAAGATATTTTTTGTGATAATAATGCGTTCCAGTCTGAGAACAGTCTGTAATTCTCCATATTGACACATAGTCAATTTCAAACTTTTATTCTCACAAGTGTCAGTTCTGGTTGATGTAAGGCAGTACAGAGTGTCTTTATGGAATACGTTTTTGATATATTGTGGTTCATTGATGCCAAAAATCTGTAATTTCATCCCTCCCTCAGACAAGGTTGTCAGAATTTCACGTTGAATTTTCTTAAAGTGTACCTTACTTAAATAAGGGCCATTCTAACCATATATTCTGTATTGCTCATTTAACTCTGTACAGTGCAATGGAGTGTATGGAAACATTACCTCAGCTATGTTATATTATGGAGAACCTGGTGTTGTCCACTGTATATTTGTGAGTGATGCTTGGTATGTCTCAATGCTGTAACTAATGTAGTTTTTTTTTTTTTTTTTTACAGCATCATGCAATTTGCTGTTTTTTTAACTCTCCTTTTGAGTATGTTAGTTTCCTGGCTTTTTCCTGATACTTTTGGTTCAGTGTTTAGTCATTGACTAAAGCAGGTTATAATGAATGAGATGATATTTTACTGGAACATATTTACAGCATGCTTGTTCCAGGTGTGTAACTGGAAATCATTGCAGCCAAACACTTCCAGGCAACTTGATTTTTTTTTTGTAGGCCAGAAATGGCAGTACCTAATACATTTCTCATGACAGGCGTACAATAAAAAGTCCACACTTCGGACTGCTAATCATGTGATGTTCAGTTCCCCACCTTTAGCTGCACATTAATGTGCAAAGTCTCACAGGGTTTAAAGTCATTTAACCACTTCCCGACCGGCAATTCTATATAAACGGCCGGACGGTGGCAGTGCAGGGTCAGGTGGCCATTTATAAACGGCCTCCCCGCACCCTGCTTGTGCGTGCTCCCTGGGAGCACGCAGCACCGCGACCCGGTGCCCGCTGTGTCCTCCGGACACAGTGAAACACCGATCGTCGGCCGGGACCTCTGTACGAGGTCCCGATCATGTGATCACTGATTGGCCAATCAGTGATCACATGCAAAGTAGTAAGCAGGATGTCACTTGTGACATCATTGCTTACTACACGTGAAATCTGTGAATGATCACAGAGGTCACATGGTACAAGGCTATTCACAACAGCCTTGTACCATGTGACAAGCTGTGACCAATCACAGCTCACTCAATACTTCTCAATGACTGCAAGAATGCAGACAGAGAGAAAGAGAAATGATTGCTTTTACATCCTATATGGGTGTAAAAGCAATCGGTGTAAAAAAAACTTCATCACCCCCCACAAGTAGTACAGTGTCACCATGGTGACACTGTACTGCTAGGGTGACCGTATGTAAAAAAATATATATATATATAAAAAAATAAAATAAAAATGTAAAAAAAAAAGTTTAAAAATTATAATTTTTGGTTATAAACTAATTTGGATTTATTTTTGTTTTTACTAAAAAGATAACGGAATAAATTTTGGCCAAGATTTATGACGAAATATTATTTATTTGCAAAATTTTATTAAAACACTTTTTTAAAAAAAATTTGGACTTTTTCATTTACATAGCAAAAAAAATAAAAATCCCAGCGGTGAATAAATACCACCAAAATAAAGCTTTATCTGTCTCAAAAAAAGGTAAAAAATAATTTGGGTACAGTGTTGCATGACCGCGCAATTGTCATTCAAAGTGTGATAGCGCTAAAAGCTGAAAATTGCCCTGGTCAGGAAGGGGGTAAAAGTGTCCGGTCTGGAAGTGGTTAAACAAAAAGATTTATACTTTCTTGCTCTTTTCAATAGAATTGCACAGTCCCCAAAATCTCCATTTCTTGAGTGCCCCGCTGACACTCCTGACTCCTCTGTGTGTCATCATAGGAAGTAGTATCCTATAGTGGCACACCTGCATGCTTGATCTGGAGCTGCACTGCTTGCATCCATAAACACAGAATGCATGGTTCGGCCCTGCCCCCTACTCACTCATCCCTCCTGACTGAATTTGACTGACAGCAATACGAGCCAGTGGCTTACGCTGCTGCCTGTTCGGTTCCTGTGTGAGAAGACTCCAGCTGGGCACAGCACTGGATCAAGTGAGGTAAGTATAAGGGAGGCAAAGTGGGCAATTGTGCTACCTAAATATTTTTTACCTTCATGGAGGGAATGCGTTAAGCTAAAAAATGTTTAGGCTTTAGAACCACTTTAAGAGGCCGCAAGGGAAAGAGAAAATCAGGAAGTACTTCAGTCTGAGGCTTCTCACAGTTTACCCCTCAAAAATACAGTTTACAATGTGTGGATCACAGTGGCACTAGCACGATGGTTTGACAATTTATTGTAATTTTGGGTTTATCATAAGGTTGTATTTAAAATATTAACATAATATATTTTCATTAGGGTCAAAGTTTACACAAAACCAGATGGTAAGGTCTGCATTCATCCCAAATCAGTCAATGTGGAAGAGACAGAGTTTCACTACTCCTGGCTGGTCTACCACCTGAAGATGAAAACCAGTAGTGCAAGTATCTCCTCTTAATTTATTCAGCCTGTGTTTTACAACTTGTTAAAGCACAAAAATATTTTACAGTGTAAACAAATATACTTCAGGAATTGGGAGCCTAAAGGTGATTTCATGGAGTCAGGGTTTATGGCCTTCTATAGCACAATGCAATGAATGAATTCCAAAAATTAGGAGGGAACACCTATACAAAAATGAGCTGGCTTTTGGGTTGTGTCCAGTTCTAATGTATTATTTTACCAGTTAAGGACCTAGACCAGGGGTGGGCAAACTTTTAGACTTGAGGGCTGCAATGGGTTCATATATTGGACCCGGGGGCCGGACCAAGAGTAGATGAATGATGTGTATGTGTCATCCATAGTAAGTATAGTAATATTCCCCCATAGTAAGCATAGTATTAATCCCCCATATAGTAATTCATCCCCCATAGTAATTCATCCCCCATAGTAATTCATCCCCCATTCATCCCCCATAGTAATTCATCCCCCATAGTAATTCATCCCCCATATAGTAATTCATCCCCCATATAGTAATTCATCATAGTAATTCATCCCCCATAGTAGATAATCCCCCCTATAGTAATTCATCCCCCCTATAGTAATTCACCCCCCCATATAGTAATTCACCCCCCCATATAGTAATTCATCCCCCATAGTAATTAATCCCCCATATAGTAATTCATCCCCCATAGTAATTCATTCACTTACCTTTGCTCCGCGCGTTCCTCTCGCCGTGTTCCCACGCCGTTCCGGTCTTCAGGGCGGACTGTGAGAGTAGCCTAGCTCCCCTCACGTTCGTCACGCTGCCCCGCCTACACACATCCTCCTGACAGCCATCCTGACAGCCATCCTGACAGTACCACGCTCCACGGGCCGGATTAAAAGGTCCGCCGGGCCGTATGCGGGCCGTAGTTTGCCCATTGCTGACCTAGAGTGTGCCACATAGCTGCTGGAGTGGCAGGTGTTTGCCCACAAGTGTGGCTGCTGGGATCTGAAGTCAGCTTTGCAAGCTAGGTTCCTATCTATGTAGCAGAGCTGCTGTTAAGTGTAACAGTGATAATTAAACTGTAAACAGAAATTGATACATTTTAATTTTTTTTTCACCGCTTGATTTATCTAATTAGTCCTGTTTAACTACTTGCTGTCCATTGTACATATGTGAATGTCCTGGACAGCAAGTGGTTATACCACGATCATGGCTGCAGCTGTGGCCATTATCCTGGTATAATTTTTTTTTTTTTAGAGACGGTGATCGGCCTTCACCTCTGTGCTTGGAACCGCTGTAAACCGTCGGGTTTGCTGCCCATAGAAGAGATAAAGGAATCTGTTCCCCTATCTCCCCTATGATGAACAAAGCCAGAAGTGACAAGGATTTCGTCACTTCCAGCTTCAGAGCTGTCTTTCTCTGACGTTTACAACCAGGAAAGTATCTGTTGAAACATGATCTGTGTTTGCTGAGATGCTTTGAAGGGCAAGGGAAATATCCAGGGTCTAGTAGACCACTGATTTCTCCATAAGGAATAATTCACTGCCCAAAGCTATCACAAAGGGCCTTGTTCACCCCTTGTAATAGCAATAAAGTTAACTGAAAAAAAAGTTTAAAAAAATGTTTTCCCCCATGTTCATATGCAAATGTTCATGTACGTCCATCATGCATATACAGTTAGGTCCATATATATTTGGACACATGCACAGTTTTAGTTTTCTCCAGGTATTTACCAAAACATATTCAAGCTATAGTTATAGAATGGATATGGGCTGAAAGTGCACACTCTCAGGTTTAATTTGAGGGTATGAACATCCAAACTGGAGGAAGGGTTTAGGAATTACAGCTCTTAAGAGTAGCCATCCCCCTTTTTCAAGGGACCAAAAGTAATTGGACAATTGAATCAAAAGCTGTTTCATGGCCAGGTGTGGGCTACTCTTTTGTTATTTCTTCATCAATTAAGCAGGTAAAAGGTCTGGAGTTGATTCTAAGTGTGGTATTTGCATTTGGAATGTATTACTGTGAACCTACATTATGCGTTCAAAGAGCTGTCCATGCAAGTGAAACAAGCCATTTGTAAGGCTTCAAAAACTAAACAAACCCATCAGAGAGATAGCAGCAACATTAGGAGTAGCCAAACCGTTTGGTACATTCGGAAGAAAGAAGAATGCACCGGTGAGCTCATAAACATAAAAAGGCATGGATGTCCACAGACGACAACAGTGCTGGATGATCGCAGGATCCTCTCTATGGTAAAGAAAAACCCATTCACAACATCCAGACAAGTGAAGGACACTCTCCAGGAGGTGGGCGTATGATTGTCAAAGTCTACAAACAAGAGAAGACTTCATGAGAGCAAATCAGATGGTTCACCACAAGGTGCAAACCATTCATAAGCCTGAAGAATAGAAAAGCCGGCTTAGACTTTGCCAAAAAAACATCTAAAACAGCCAGACCAGTTCTGGAAAAGTATTCTTTGGATGGATGAAACTAAGCTTAATCTGTACAGAATGACGGGAAGGAAAAAGTGTGGAGAAAGCTTGGAACAGCTCATGATCCAAAGCATACAACGTCATCTGTAAAACATGGTAGAGGCAGTGTGATGGCATGGGCATGCATGGCTTCCAGTGACACTTGGTCATTGGTGTTTATTGATGATGTGACAGAAGACAGAAGCAGCCGGATGAATTCTGCAGTGTTTGAAGATGTACTGTCAGCCCAGATTCAGCCAAATGCAGCACAGTTGGACGGCACTTCATAGTACAGTAGGACAATGATCCAAAACACACTGAAAAAGCAATCCAGGAGCTTTTGAAGGGAAAGAAGTGGAATATTCTGCAATGGCCAAGTCAATCACCTGATCTAAACCCAACTGAGCATGCATTTCACTTGCTGAAGGCAAACCTAAAGACAGACAACAAAGGACAACTGAAGACAGCTGCAGTAAGAGCCTGGCAAAGCATCAGAAAGGAGGAAACCCAGTCTTTGGTAATGTCAATGGGTTCCAGACTTCAGGCACTCATTGTCAGTAAACGATTATCAACAAAATATTAAAAATGAACATTTTATTTATGATTATATTCATTTGTCCAATTATATTTGAGCCCTTGAAGATGGAGGGACTGTGTATAAAAATGGTTTCAGTTCCTAAAATTTGTGCTTGATATTCAACCCCTTGAATTAAAGCTGAAAGTCTGCACTTCAGATTCATTTGGATTGTTTTGCTTTAATTTATTCTGGTGGCATACAGAGCAAAAGTATGAAAATTGTGTCTGTGTTCAGATATATATCGACATAACTGCATAAACAGAACAGTGATTGCACAACGCATGTGAGGTATCCATGCAGATATCAGACTGAGTGCAGTAATTCTAGCATCATAGCTCACGTTTAACGCTAAATTGCTAACCTGTAAAGGCTTTTAAAGTGTTGACTATGGGTAATCTTAGGCACCATAGTGTGTTCCCATTTCACAGACGTGCACAATGTTTTACATTTTGGCATGTTTGGTTTCTATTTGCTCAACACAAAATCACCTTTTATATTTTACCAAAAAATGTGATATTATATTTGTTTGTGTGCATTAAAATTCATTTAAGTGTACTTTTCCTGAAAGTTTGTGTTCGATAAATGGCTGAATAAATATTGTGTATCATGAAATGTGATGGTGTCTCTGGAGCTTTACTGGTTAAACAATTAGATTCATAGATTGTCTTTAAACATTCACAAAGATCTCTGTTGATGAAAGTCACGTTGTTGTTTACAACTACTTATTGTGATGTTTCAATCACTACAGATTTACCTATATGACTGCACAGAGGTCACTCCATATTCACTACTTTTCTTTGGAGGAGATATTTCCATCCAGAAGGACCAAGGACAGGACACTATTGCTGTGGATGAATGGATTGTTTTTCAATCACCTGCTCGGATTGCACACCTTGTCAAGGTAATGCTACTGCAATAACCCCTCGACAATACAGACCCTCAAACTTTACTACATACTTCCCATAGTCCTGATGTAGTAGAAAGTCTGCAACCATCTTTCATATTCCTTTTTCTGTTAATATCAAGCCACCATCCATTACCCCATCAGAATTTTTCTAAGCTCCATTTCTTTTATGAGCACTTAAACTAGACCTAAATCCATTCACTAGAAAATTATACAAGACTTAAAATGTTGATGTAAATCCAAAATGTGTTTTTTAAAGTTTGATATATAACTTTCTTTGAAATATTACACAGTGACCCTGCTATAGGGGTCCTTCTGTTATACAGTCTCAATTATGCTCCTGTGTTGTTGCCTTGAAGCATTGTTGTGGAGACTACAAGCGGCTATATCGAAGCACATTGCACAGGGACATAGCAGTTGGTCCGCTAACAGTGGAACAATTATTTATAGACAGGACGTGGCGATATTAGCATTACTTTCCTTAGTAATCTTTCATAGGAAGAGCAAAGACCACCCTGCTTTCTTTTGTAAAATATTATGATTCACTGAGAATTCTCGACCCACTACATGCACAAGGACATAGTAGCCCTAGTGCATTTATAAGAGGGGTGAGAAAACCCCCTGGTCATGGGCCTTACTGTGCATTTATACCTAGTGGGAATACCCTCAAGTAAACAGACTAGATCCAAAGATCTATCAATTTAATATTTTAGCTGCTGGTTCCACACTGTCCTTACTTTACTCATTGCTGGTTTTTGTTTTTTTGTAAAATAGAAACCAAGTTCTTTCTTGGCATTTCACATGTACATCACAAATAAGTAATTTCTTTTCTTGTTCCTTAGCCTTTTTCGTTGTCAGAGCCGTTTTTTTTTTTTTACGTTTTTTGGCCTGAAGATTGTATGAACCTCAAAGCACTATATATTTTCTGAAAGCAGACACCTTAGAGATCAAAATAATGGTAGTTGCAATTTTTTATGTCACACAATATTCTCGCAAAGGTCTAGGAAATCAAAATTTCAGTAAAAAATTCACTAAAGCTAATTTTCGAGCATAAACACGAAATAAATTACCCATTTTTTGGAAAACATAAAAGATGAGGTTGTACCGAGTAAATGGATATCAACCATGTCAAGCCTTAAATTTGTGTGCACCTGTGAAATGGCGACAAATTTCAGTATGCCATATTTTCCATAGGCAATGCTTTAAAAGCCCCCTATAGGTCATCTGTTTGGTGTTACAGAGGAGGTCTGGTGCCAGTAATATTGCTCTCACTCTGACATGTGTGGCGATATGTAACATGTATCGCAATCAAAGTTTTCATGCATAGGAGCCCCCGGTGTGGGACACAATCCCTATGTTGACCAATTTGACGAATACTTGTGTTCAGTCATAAAAATACAAGGCTTCCTGTGAATGGCTGAGCAGCAGTCGATTTTGTTCCAGGAATGGGCCAGGAAGTCGCTGTACTGCTGCCAGAATCATTCTAGTTAATGCAGAAAGTTTTCCGCAGTGTTGTGGTATATGACTTTTTTTATATCCTGTACTCCCAATGGATGTGATGATGGAATTTAGCTGAAACAGTTGTGTGTGTGCCCTATTTCTGCTGTTGTAGAATCAGTAGTCTAATCTGTAAGACCAGCAGTAAAGTGGTTGTAAACCCTTACGTATACCCAGTGAAGTGACTGGCCTCAGATGATGCACAGAGATGTAACAAATCCTCCTATATAAGCTGTATCTGTGTATCTACAGTTGTTTTCCCTAACATCCATTCAAAGTGCAGAATTTACACAGGATCTCTCAGCTCTGAAAAGCAGGGGTCAGGCAGCTGAGGTTTACATCAGCGCTGATTGGAGGAAAGAGACAGAGCACACAGGAACAGAGCTGAGTCTGTCAATCAAAGGTCCCTCCTGTCACCATTTTTCTCTTGGTGTCAGGAAAACTTGAGTGACTCATTCTGAGTTTTACAACCACTTTAACTATCCTTTGTGTATCATTCCCCATAAGGAGCTCTGCAAAATCCAATATATATGTGGAGTCAAAGGCTGGAGGGTGCCAGAGACCCCAAAAAATGCTTGCAGAGGGTAGGATACATCCTTCAAGAAATGTATTGTGATTGTGTTTTATGTACTATGTCTTTTGTATTGTAGGATTTGAAGACAGAGCTTGATTCCCTTTTGCAAGATAAAATTGAAAGTCCTCAGCCTGTAGATTGGAGTGAAAAAGAGTCAAGAGACTGTGCTGTTCTCTCAGCTATTATTGATCTAATAACTACCCAAGAGAACGGAGAGGCCAAGAATTTTGCCCCTCGAATTCAGCAGAAGAAAACTTGGTCTTGTGCTGCTAATTTTCAGATGTATTCAACAAGCAGCTGATTTTATTGATGTTGAACAGCAATTACTTTGTCCACCACTAGAGGGACCTTCACGCTATGTCACTGATGCAGAAGAACTGTGAGAAATGTAATTTGTACATTGGGGTGCTGGTCCATTCATGGTCTGTAAATGGCTTTCCATGGTTTTGTACATGGTTCTGAAATGGCATTACTGTGCTCAACAGTATATGTGACTGTAATTTAGGCACCTGCAAGAATATATTCAGATGTTGAATAAAAGTAGGTTGATAAATTCCTTTCATCCCAAAAGTGAATGTTTTATGTTTAATGTCTGTACTATAGCTGTAAGCCTTGTTAAAGAACTGTTGTGAGGTTCTTGCTTTCTCACATTTGTTCAGTATGTTCAAAATACAGTCAGCTTATTATTTATGTTCATATCAAATGTATTGCCTCATATGCTATGCTCTGAGGGTGCACATGAAGGACAGGGGGAGACATGTCACAAAGGAGAAACCTTTTTTCCATAAATTCCAAGCTTGCCCTGCTAATGCATTGTTTTCTCTACTAATAAAAAAATCTGTTTTTCTAATCTTCTTTGATTACTTGCTTATTTGCCTTTGTCTTTCCAAGAATGTGTGTTACACAGGCCCACCACCTAGGGTTAAAACTTCAACTTGGAAGTTGTGGTTTGGGAAAAACTCAACTTCCAAAAAAAACTTTTTCAAATTGTAAACAGTGCAATAGCTGGTTTGTCATTCTCAACACAGTGAAGGCAGTACATTGCCTGAGATGGGCTTAACTTGCTACAGGCCCAAAGCATTTTACAGCATTATTTTTCCCGAAACAGTTTCTTGGTTGTGATGACCATTCCTGTATGATGAGGTAAGGAGTGCCTGCCTAGATTCCAGCCCTGGAGAGAGTAGGATCAGAGTGATGGCTGCTGCTAGACCGTGGAATAATGTCAATCTTCCTGGTGGATCATCCCCTTGACAAAACAATCATGAAATCCTTTATCTGGAGAGGATACAATTTTTATGATTTGTAAACTGCCCCGAGTTCTATGTGAAGAAAAACCTATCCAAAGTCATAAACCCATGCTTGCTGAAACCGACCCAGGAATACTTAAGCCCTTCATGCCAACCGAACGCAAATATGCAGCCCCACTTGACTGGGCTTTTTTCCGTGGGGCCACTAATATGGGTACTTGTCTTTGTGCCGGGAGGGCACCGCACCGCGTGCTCCCAGCACAGAGATGGGTCTCATTGAAAACCCCGAGTCCTGTTCTAGAAATCAGGACTCGGATCTCCCGATTCCAGGTCACCTGATTGCTGTGATAGCCTCTGATTGGCTATCACAGTGATCGGTCACTCTGAAGCCCCCCCTCTGTGTTTTTTCTCTGAATGGAAGGAAGAGATACATTGTATCTGTCTCTGTCCTCCAGAGAGAAAAAAAAAAGTGTGTGTATAAATATAATTTAAAAAAAAAAGGTTTGATCTAGTTCAGTGCCAGGGTTAGTATCTGGCTTAAGGTCAGGGTCAGTATTTTTTTTTGGGGGTCGGATTTTTTTTTTTTTCTTTTAATTTTTAAATTTGTGTCAGTGGCAGGATAAAAAGAAAGCAAAATGCACACTATGGTTTCTGGACTGTACTACGGGTACAAATAACATACACATATCTGGTATTGCTGCGATCATCAGGAGCAGGAGAAATTATTTGGGGTTGTTCTTTGGTGGTAGGTTATGGTAGTAGCAAGAAATATACAGCTAAATTAAAAAAAAAAAAAAAAAAAAATGTTAGTATTTTGGGCCAAGTTTCCTTTGATAACAAAAAATCAGGAGATATCCATTACCATTTACCACCAATTGAAAGCCAAATTTGTCCTGAAAAAACAAGGTATAATCCATCTGGATGCACAATGTAGTTGCGGTGATATGTACGGTTTTGCTAACACATGTCAAAGTTGCACAATGTGCTTGGACGTTAAGGTTAGTTTTACCCTCGGGCACGAAGGGGTTAAAAGATAAATTCCCCATTTGAAAAAAATAAATAAATGCACACGTTTTTGCAGGTAAAAAAATGTGCAAGTATTTATTTTTTTTCTCAGGAGCCTGCAGAGCATTGCACCCACTATCAGATGCTTGGAGCGTGTTAGTCTACATATGTCATACCCATATGTAATGGGTAACATTCTCCAAAAGGTGAACTTGGCCTTTAAATAAGTCAAATGTGATGGTGGCATTAGTTTTCTTTACTTAAGCTTTTTTTAATTTATTTTCACCTGGTGATCCAGCCAGCAACATGCTGCTTCTCTTTTGGGTGTCCCTAGTCTGAAAGGAGGAGCAATGGAGACACCTTTAGACAGCAGCATTGTCAGCCTTGGGGAAAAGGTAGTAATAGATGAAGTTTCAGAATTAGATGGGCTTGACTAACATATTAAAGTTGAACTCCAGCAAACGCTTTTTAAGCAGTTACAGCAACATTTTTTACTTTTGCTGGTTCACTTTTCCTGGACATCTTGGTCTATTAAAGGAATTTGAAAAAAAGAGAAATTTTGACTTGCCTATAAATGCCATATCTCAGGGAACAGGACAGTAAAGGAGTTCAGTAAAGATTTTCTGGGGAGTGAAAATTATTTCAAGAGTGACCCAGTCATCAGACTGCACACTGTTCATGAACAGGGTATGTTTTTTAACAGGGTCTTGTTGGTCTCTTTGTACCCAAAGGGGGAAGGTGAAATGGAGGAAAGTCAGCTTGCAGAATGCCAAGCATTTTGTGGACAGAGGTACAAGCTCTTCAATGTCTGCAAGCATATTGTATGGGCTCAAATAGCACCACAAAGGTATTGGTTTTGGGTATCGGGAGCATTTGCACGAGTACTTGCAACCCTAGTTTTCTCATACTTTCTTTTTCTTTGTAATCTCACGTTTGGTGCGTGTGTGTGTATATAATATATATAACCAAAAGTATTGGGATGCCTGCCTTTACATGCACATGAACTTAAATGGCATCCCAATCTTAGTCCGTAGGGTTCAATATTGAGTTGGCCCACCATTTGCAGCTATAACAGCTTAAACTCTCCTGGAAAAGCCGTCCACAAGGTTTAGGAGTGCGCCTATGGGAATGTTTGGCCATTCTTCCAGAAGCGCATTTGTGAGGTCAGGCACTGATGTTGTACGAGACTGCTCCTAATTCATCCCAAGGTGTTCTATTGGGTTGAGGTCAGGCCAGTCAAGTTCCTCCAACCCAAACTTGCTCATCCATGTCTTTATAGACCTTGCTTTGTGCACTGGTGCGCAGTCAGTCATGTTGGATCAGGAAGGGGCCATCCCCAAACTGTTCCCACATATTTGGGAGCATGAAATTGTCCAAAATGTCTTGGTATGCTGACACCTTAAGAGTTCCCTTCCATGGAACTAAGTGGCCAAGCACAACCCCTGAAAAACAATCCCACACCATAACCCCCCCTCCACCAAACTTTACACTTGGCACAATGCAGCCAGGCAAGTACTGTTCTCCTGGCAACCACCAAACCCAGACACATGCAATGGATTGCCAGGCAGATTAGTGTGATTTGTCACTCCAGAGAACACATCTCCACTGCTCTAGAGTCAAGTGGTGGCATGCTTTACACCACTGCATCTAACGCTTTGCATTGCACTTGGTGATGTAAGGCTTGGATGCAGATGCTCAGCCATGGAAGCCCATTCCATGAAGCTCTCTACGCACTGTTGTGGTAAACTGAAGGCCACATGAAGTTTGGAGGTCGTTAGCTATTGACTCTGCAGACAGTTGTCGACTTCTGCGCACTGTGTGCTTCATGCTCTGTTATTTTACGTGGCCTACCACTTCGTGGATGACTTGCTGTTGTTCCCAGTTGCTTCCACTTTGTTATATAATACCACTAACCGTTGACTGTGGAATATTTAGTATCAAGGAAATGTCACAGATGGACTTATTGCACAGGTGGCAATCTATCACGGTTCCACACTTGAGTTCACTGAGCTGCTGAGAGCGACCCATTCTTTCACAAATGTTTGTAGAAACCGTCTGCATGCCTAGGTGCTTGATTTTATACACCTATGGCCATGGAGGTGATTGGAACACCTGAATCCAATGATTTGGAGGGGGTGTCCCAATACTTTTGGCAATATAGTGTATTTAGTTTACAGGTATACGTGATACCACCACCTCAGGAGACCTTCCTAAATGCCCAGAATGCACTGAAAAACAGTAAAAAATTAACTATTTCTGACATGTTGATAGAAATTGAGAGAGCAGAAGCAGAGAGAGCAGTATATGTTGAGATTACCTGTGTTTTCTGATTGTATTCACTATGGATCCCATCATGGGTATAATGCAGCACGTTCTACCATTTCTTCCTTCATGCGAAACCTGGAACTGACTGCGCTGGTGTACTGGGTCCATTTAAGTACCTGGACAATGCTTTGCATGCATTTCTGATGACGAAAAAAGCTCTGGACAGCATCTGAACATGGAACAATTAAAACGCAAACGCTCATAAATGTGGTTAACCGCGTTTACAAGCATTTGACGTTTAAAAAACGTCGGTAAAATATACTCCTGAATGCAAGTTTGGTGTGTTCAAAAAAACTACTGTAAACTCAGCTGCCTGTAAACGACTATATGTACATGGACACATAGGAAAACATTAGGGAAAGTTCAGGGGCTGCTGAAAGAAATGCATAAAAGCTCCTGAACGTCAGTTTATCAGCTGCAGTCTACATGAGCCCTGTGAGGTTTCCGGCTTATGGCTTGTCAGGGTAACCTTAAAACAATTATACTCTTCTAAATCTGTCGTGTGCCATCTCGGCTCCTCTCCCTGAAGAAGTCATGTGAGTATATGACACAGCGTGTCCGAACGGAAGCCTGGTGAAGTCATTTCCGATCCAGAGCTGATACAGCCATATTCGTGTATCCTGCTGCTAAGTCTATGACTCTCGTTTTTATTGTAAGTGCAATTTTATGATTTCTATTTACATTTAATAAATATACTGCACTATGGGAAGCTTTTGTTCTGTTT